AGGAATTGCTATACTGTTTTCCATAGTGACTGCACCAATTTACATTCCCACTAACAGTATATAAAGGTTCTCTTTTCTTTTCTTTTTTTTTCCTTGTCTTTTTTATCATAGCCACTCAAGCAGAGGTGAGGTGATATCTGATCATGGTTTTAATTTGCAGTTCTAACAGGATGCACATTTTTAATGCTTTAGACAAATCATCAAAATACCCTCCAGAAAGATTATACCTATTTTGTGCACACTAGCAGTATTTAAGAGTATTTTTTTCTCACAACTTCATTAATATGAGTATAGTTTTTATAAATCCTTACCTATTTGGCACACAGTAGGTAAGATGTCACATATTAATTTACCTTTTTTTGTAAGTAAAGTCAAACTTCCAATTTCGTGGGGAAGAGGCACTTATATTCCTTGTTTTGTGAATTACTTGTCCTTGACATTTGTTTGCCTTTTATTGCTTTATAAGAGTCCTTTGTATATAAGACACTCTGGTTTTTGCCATATTTGGTAGTGTAGATGAGTTCTTTCACTTTATTATTTCCATGAACGCCTAAACTCCCTCTTGAACTTTAATCTCCATGGGAACAGACTTCTCTGAATCCCCATGGCACACAAAATAGTCTCTTAGATACTCAACAAATATGCTGGGATGAAAGTTCTAATTGCTTTTGTTTAATCCACTTTCTAAAATTATTTTTGTTCCACCCTGCTAAAGGAAGGGAGTCAATTGAATATACATATTCCCCTTCGTCAGAGAAATACCCAAGTTGTTTTGGTGTTTCCTTTACACATTTAACAAGTATTTATCAAGCACTTTTTATGTTCCAGTATTGTCCTCAGTGGCTGGGATACTGTAGTGGGAAAATTCTTATGTTCTTGTTAAGGGAGACAGATAATAAAGAAGACAAATAGAAGTCTTCTATAAATAAGTTACAAAAAAATGTAGATTTTAAAACAAAATATGGTAGGCTGTGATCAGTGTAATGAAGAAAATCAAAGGAGAGGAGGACCTCAAGTAGACCTCACTGAGAAGGTAGATGAGGTGGGGGATTAGCAAGGTGGACATCTGGAGGAGAAACATTCCAAGCAGCCTGAGCAACATGTGTCGCTGCCCTAAAGCAGGATTAGGAAAGAAACAGAAGGGAGGTCAGTGTGACCAGAAGCCAGCAAGCAGGTTAGAGAGCCAGGTGGGGCGGGCGCAGAGTGTGTACAGCTCTGCAGATCATTGTAGGAACTTCGCATTTTTGCTGAATGAAAAGGGAAGGTTGGAGCAAAGGAATGGTATGTCTGCCCAAGGCTATAAAAACTATAGCTCTACTATATACCAGAGACATTTTATGGGGTGGAGCGGGGAATGGGATCAAAAACAGTGAGGGGAGGGAAATACTCCGGACTCTGGTGATGGCACATGAGTGATTTGGTGATGGGAAACCCTAGGGGATTGCAACTGAGATGGAAAAATGCACAAAAATAAGTAAAAATAAACTATTATAAAATTAAAAAAAAAAAAAAACTATAGCTCTAGTGACCTGCCGGGACTAGACTGGCCAAAGGAGGTAATGCTGAAAACAGGGAGATGGATCAGGAAGAGAGCAGGGGAGATGGTGGATGGTGAGGAGAGGGCAGATTCTGGGCAGATTCTGACAGCAGTAGAGCCTGATGAAGTCGATGTTAAATGTGAAGAAAAAAAAAATAGAGAGATAGAGAAACATTCCAAGGATTTTAGCTTGAGCAATTAAAGAATTTGACATTAATTGAGATGAAGAAGATGCAGGCAAAGCAGGTTTAAGAAAAGTCATTGATTATGGAAATGAGGAATGCAAAATATCTCTAGACAACAAAGTGAAGAGAGGGAATATATACATTAATAATAGTTGTACTTACGAAGTAAGACTTTTGAAATGTTTTTCTTTCTCTTCTTTCCTCTTCCATTTAATTTTTTCTTCATCTTTTTGAATTTTTCAAAACTTTTTTTTCTCAGCTCCATGTCCTGACATTCATAATACACACCAGGCCAGAGGCCCAGACTGGGGTGTATGTGGGGTGGTTTTACTTTGCCTCCTCTTTCTGTAGAGTCAGCATAAAGAACACCAGGAGGTCCATTTTTCAAATTTTAAATAGCATCAGCAAGTTTTACTTTTATAATAAAAACAAAACTAAGCAAATTTAATTTTTTTAATAATATACTATGAGTTATGGGGTAGAAATAATTATTACAGACTTTCTTTTAAATCTTCTTGTACCAGCATTTGAAATTCAAATGAATTCAAGAAACGTTCTCTACAAGCCTGCCACAGATAAACTAACATAGTCCCTGTTCTGAAGGAGCTCACAGTTCAACAGGCTCCAGGCCAGCTTCAGTTAGAGGCGTCTACAAGGGCCAAACCACGAACTGGGGAGCATGAAGGAAGGAAGTAGCTGTGAGGATGCACAAAATTTCTCTACCATAAGAATGTCACAAAACATACAAGTCACACAACTTCTGAGACACAGACAGCAATTCAATGCAGGATGGATGAACACAGCAGATGACAAATGGGTGATCAGGTCAGTTTTTAATGAAGTATTTGCCAAAGGAAGTCTTGCAAAGGGAGAACAAAGAAGACCCCCCCTCCTCATACATGTCCCCCAACATAGTGAACCAGAGTCCGACTACCATGTTGGAGTAAGCGGCTCAGGGCAGCTGGCCTCTGTGGGAACCCTCCAGGAACATTTCCCTGCAGTCACGAGGCTCCAGTCTGTGGCAGGGGCCCAAGCCATAGGCAGCTCTACCTTCTTCCGGCACATGGCCATGCCCTGCTGCAGCTGAGATGCTCTAGTCCCTCCTGACACGCAGCAGGGAGACTTGGATGGGAGGCTGGTGGGAGTACCGTTCACGAAGGAGCTAGAGGGCAAAGGCAGCAGTTGGCATTTCTAGCCCATGTGCACCAGGAGCTCATGTACCAAGGGCAGGAGAGGACACTGGGAAAGAACTATGAGGAGGCCACTGACACTTCCTGAGACACTGGCAGTTGGGCACGCACTAGGTACTTCATGCACACTATGTTTTTGTTTAAGCCTCACAGCAACATCTTAAAGCAGGTAATAGTCTACTCGCTTTATAAGGGAGGAAAGTAACATGAAATAACTTACCCAAGGCTACATGGTTAGGAGCTAGAATTCACACAGAATATCTGACTCCTTAGCTCATTGTTTGATCCCAAGCCTTCTACCCATGGACAACTCTCAACAAGAACTAGCTCAAATACTCTCCTAGCCTGGTTCCTGCACCTCCGCTCCTGACCTGCTCCTGAACTCTTTACATAGTTTCAAGTCCCAGGGCTCAGATCTGGCACATTCCTAGGTTCCCTTCCCACTGGATTTATGCTTGCTTCTTCTATTATCATATGTAATGAGCATTTGTCAATTAGTTGGCTGATCCTTTTCAGCCCCTCTTTGTCATGTTCCAGACACTCCTTATTATTGGAGTCCTAATGGGGTCCCCCTAAGAGCACTTCCAAGACGAAGATATTACCACTACCCATCCCATGGCAGTATTTTGTGGGCACAAAAGCTAAGCTGAAATGACCCATCCTAACCTTCTGATGATTCATACCATCTCCCAAGCCCAGATTTCTACCCCTGGATGCTTGGGCCAGGGACTTAAGGATTTTCCCAACTAGTTGTCCAAATATATCCTGATCTTGGTCCTCATCTAGATGATAAATCTGCATGTTTATTTTTTGTCTTTGGCCTGACATCCTTACTTCCTTTGAGGCTTATTCTATATGGTCCTGATTGGGCTGATCATGCCAATGAAGTCCATACTTCCTTGGTATGCTGTACAGATCTTGGGAGAGGCAAGTGCCTTGTGAGTATATGCCTATAGTAATCACATTTCCTTACAGATGGACAGCTACTCTGACAAATGAAAGAAGTAGAGCTAAGAGGGTGAGAAAGAGAAAATCCTGATGTTCATGCTCATAAGGCTGCTGGTTCCAGCCATAACTGAAATTAAAGAACCACTTCTAGTTTCTTAGCCAATCCCTTGCCTTTTCTGTGTAAGATACTCTGAGTTGATCTGTCCATTTGCAACCAAAAGTCCTGCCTGCCTGGCCGTCAATATCATTGTTCAGGAGCCAGAAGCCCTGCGCTTTCTAGGGCCCAAGGAAATTGCAAGTGAAAGGGGAAAAAAAATTAACACAGTATAGAGGGGAATGGGAACTCAAAATTCAGTCAAAACAGTAGAAGGGAAGCCAGGCAGGGATCCTTAGATTTAACTCCTATTATTCCCTAAGAAACAACCTCCTCCCAGGAGTAGCAGCTGCTCTTTGTATCCTGTAGCTCTTCCCCAGAGTCCCCAGGAATCTCTCTATTCCCCTTGAGAAAGTGCCCACTCACCTGCTGCATCAGTGTCTCTGCCACTTGGCGGTCAGTGAGGTCTTCTGGAGAGGCCACACGCAGCCTTAGGAGGAGGACGCCTCCACCACCCCCTGCAAATTGAAACAGCAGGAGGATGAAACAGGGTTAAGTCTGCTGAGGAGTCAAGATGTGCTCTGAGTTAAGAGCCTCCTTCTCCCCTCAGAGAGACGTGGACTCTGTCATGTGTTCACATGGGATCTCGCACTTACTCACCACAAAGAGAAAGAGCATAGCTGGGCTCATTGTAGTGTCTTCCCAAAAAGTGTGAAGGGAACATAACTAAAGGAACCAAAAAAACTAATTTAGTCCAAAGATGCTGTCTGGTTCCTGGAGGCTGCCCTTCCCAACACAAAATTGCTTGACTCTCTTTTATGCGTTGCCCAGACACTACCACTGATTTCTCTTTTGCATAAGCTTTCCTGAGTTGTTTTTGGATATCTGCAACCAACTAACTGACATATTAATCTTCTCACTCTGAAGAACCCCAATATGGTAGCCTCCATTCCTCGAACAGTCTTCCCCTTGCAAAGTCCTCTAATTTGTCTTCCACCTACCCACACTCACCCATTACTCAAGATCCAATACTTTTCAGAAATTATCTGTGCCTTCACTGATCTCCTTCTCTGGTTTTCCTTAACATCTAAGAAACTACTGAATTTGCCTTTCCTGTATAATATTGTGCCTTGTGCCAACAAAAAAAGAGAAAAGAAATCTACCCTACAGGATATAATATGCATGGGACAAATGTACTATTTGCTACAGCACTGTTTGTCATAACAAGGTACTGGAAACCATTTAAATGTTCATCTATAGAAGACTGTTTTAATATATTTTGGTATAGCAAAAATAAAACACATTGAGCCATAAAAAAATATGAAATGCTACTGACATAGATATGTTTTACCATATGCCCACTTGCATAAAAGAAGAGGATGAAAGATATTTGTTTATATATATTATATATCACGTATAGTTTACACATGTATTTCCATATACATGTTTCATACTCAGAAGAGGCTTCAAAAGAAAGGGATACTATTGGTAATAAGTGTGAGGAAAACTGGGTAGTTGGAAACAGCAGCAGAAGACTGCAGTTGGGGTATGTTTTGTACCTATTGCAGTTAAATCATGTGACTCTATTATCTAAACAATAAATAATAGGTCCTCCTTGGTGGCACAATGGGTTAGGACTCAGCACTGCAAGCTGGTCGCAGCCACTTCAGTGTGAGTTGGATCACAGACCCTGGAGGTGATCCACATGGCGCAGCAGAATTCTCCTGTCTCACCCGCTGCTCAGCAGTGTACTTCCTCGATCTGCCTACTCTGCTCCCCACTGTCTCTGGAAAATCTCACTGCCCCTGCGCCTCTGGCCTATATCCCAGTTCTGTATGCATAAATAAATAAATCTTTTTTAAAAAATTGAGGGTCAGAGACCCTTTAAAAAAAAAAACAGAGCAATGGTTGTACCAAAGAAGGCAAAATTTTATCTCTTTGCAGCTGTGCTGATGTGTGCCAAGGACAAGGCCATTAGGAAGGTTGTCATTCTAATCATGATAGTGGCCACAGCCCTCAGGACATTTTGGAACAAGTCTCTGATGACTGTGCACTTCCAAGCAGTATGTGAAATTACATCACAGCGTGTGGCATCATTCACAGCAAAGGAGTCAGGGACTCCTCTTTCCTGAAAGGACCGAACACCCCCACCCCAACTGAGACCAGTGGGGCCTCCCCTATGACCTCCACCAAAGGCGATGTAAGGTCCTCACTTTTCAAGGACTGGAGAAAAACTGTTCCTCTGAGGAAAAAGTAAAAGGGAAACTACTTAAAAACATATATTTCAGTAAGGTGGTTATGATTAATATTTTCACTTCTCCCCAGAAGGGCAGGGCAAGCTGAAGTTACGAGGACAGAGAGGACAAGCTGAGCTCTAGGACAGAAAGAGGTATGGAGTCTACAGACTGGCCAAGGAGCCTCTGATTTCCACCTGAGATGTGTCTGATGTCCCAGATTACAGTACCAGTAGTTTTATTTTTTTTAAAGGATTTATTTATTTATGCATACAGAACTGGGGTATAGACCAAAGGTACAGGGGCAGTGAGAAGATTCACCAGAGACAGAGTGGGGAGCAGAACCGGCAGACTGATGAATAACACTGCTGAGGGGAGCAGTGGGAGGGTCAGGAGAGGTCTGCCGCGCCCTGTGGGTCACCTCCCTGTGCTGCAGTGGCTGTGGAGAGCTTCATAGTGCTGTGCTTCAACTTGTTGCGCCACCAAGGAGGGCCCAACCAGTAGTTTTAAACTCCCAAACTTTCACCCAATTTATCTTTTTACATTGCCAACACTCCAGTCCCAGCAGGTGTATCCAGTGAACCCCATATTCAGGGCTCCCAGATGCTGAGAGGCTGGCAACTTGAGTCAGATGCCCAAATGTTGCCCCTCTTTGTGACTCTGGCTGAACTAGAGGTTTCTGAGCACAATGGTAGTGTCTTCAATATATTTTAAATAAAATTTGGGGCCTTGCAAGATGTGCAGTAGTTACTCAACTGTTAACTTCATATGAGAGCAGTGCTCGAAAGGACTTCGGTGCTCATCCCCACAACCTTCTCCATCAGCAGATGGAGAAACTGTAGCCCAGAGAGGTAAAAGGACTTGTCCTAGGTCACTCAGATTGTTGAGGGTAGAACCAAGATCTCAAGCCATTTCTCAAGACAGCCCCACAGTCTTTCCATACACTATCCAAATCTACTTGTTACAGACTATGGCAAGAATCATCAGAAGATGACTCCAGAGACAAGACTCAGAACAGCTCCCCATAGCTTTCCATTCTCCCTGCTCCTTAGATGCGGAACATCTTGGAGACTTTACAAATCCCAAACCCCCAAAGGTCACATGGGGGAAGCCTGTTACCTGCAGTAACATCTGTGATGCACCTCATCCAAGCAGTGGTAGGTAAGATTGTTGGGGTCCTCCCTGTAGCAAAGATGGCTGACTTTGAGGTCCTCCCTGAGCCGCTGGTCTTGGCTAAGGTGCTGTTTGTTTCTTGGCTGCCTTGGGTGGTAGTCACATGGCCATAAGGAACAGAACTCCTTCTGCTGGAGGAGAGTCCAGCTGAGGTGCTATCTGTGGTAGAAGTCTGTGGAGGGGTGGAGTTCTTGATGGTGGCTACTTTGGAGGGGCTGTAGACGATTGCTGAGGGTTCCAAAGGGGAAGCTGACCCAGCCTCTGTGGAGATTGAAGACTTTCTGTGTCCTGTTGTCTCCACAGAGGGGCCTGAGGTTTCTTCCAGGTTCATGCTGCCTGTCACCAAAGTTCCACTGGGAGTGATGGCCTGGGCGGCTGTTGTTTTTCTTTCTGTGGTGCTATTGGCAGAGTGTGGGGTCTCGACTGAAGCGGCTGACTCTGTGGCACTGGCTATTGACGAGTCTTTCACAGACGGTGTGGTACTGGTGAGGAATGATTTTCCTTCAGAGGAGCCTGGCCAGGTTAAGGTCTCAGGAGTGGATGGGGTCTTTCCTCTTTCTTCAGAGCTGTGATCTGTGTCTAAGGCCCCAGGGACGTCAGTTGTTTCTATCTCTATAATGCTGCAATTGATAACCTCAGTGTCAGTGATGGTGTAGGCAACCAAGCCTTTAGCTGGAGTCATGGTGTCAGGCACCAGTGCTCGTGAGGTGGGAATGACGGGAGCTGTGCTGTCAGGGGAGGAGCTGCCCTTCCGGGGCAGGGCCTCGGATTCTGCAGAGGTGTGAGCCAATGTCAAGACACCAGTAGTGATCCTCTTTGCCTCTTCAGAGCTGTCATCAGAACACAGGATGTCAAAGACACTTTCCGACAGATGGCCGCCCATGACAGCCTCAACTGTGGTCGTTGCTGTTCCCGTGCCACTTGTGACTGAGGTCACCATAGAAGTGGGAATCACAACCTTGAATTCGGAAGGTGTTATTTTTGTGAGGGCCTTGGTCTCTGTTGTGGGAAAAATGGTCTTAGGGTCCCTGGTCTCTGCTTCTGAAAAGGTACCTGCTAGAATTAAGTTCCTAGCAGATGTCTGGGTGCTTAGGGTTTGAGTTTCCAGAGGGGTGAGTCTTGGTGAAGAGGTCTCTGTGAGGCCAGCAGTCTGGTAGGTTCTCTCTAAGCTGGTCCTAACCCCTGGTGTCACAGAAAGTACTTCTATGTGACTCGTTGTCATCAAAGGGCTTGGTTGGTTGGTCCTAGGGCCTGTATTAGGAAACCAAATTTGTGAGCATGTGACCCTGGCCAAGTGTCCCAGGTTCTAAACCTGCATTTCTTTATCTGTAACATGGAGCTACAGTACTTATTTCACGGTATTGTGATGACTAAAATAAATTAAATATAAAATGTGCAACATGAGCCTGATAGATGAGTGCATGCAGGAAGTGGTGTGGTCCAGAGGTTATGCTAGTGTGGATCTAAATCTGGCTTCTACAGGTGATTTACTTAATCCCAAGGAAACTCAGTCTCCTTACCAACAGGGGGCAGCACAAGAGTGCAGAGTAATTAAAAATTGCACCTCTCTCATAGAGTTATTTTATGGATTAAAAAGCTAATGTCTGGGGATAGATGCGTTATCTCTCCTCATCCTCTCAATTTTACTGTGAACCACAAAAAATAACATCTGACAATGACATGTAGGTTCATGACTAACTCCAGAGCAGGATATTGATAATGAAATCTATGCAAGTCAGCAGGGAAGGGGTACATGGAAACCGTATTTCCCACTCAGTTTTGCTGTCCCCTAACACTACTTTTAAAACTGAAGTCTTCAAAGAAAGATTATGCATGCACAGTTCCTATTACAGATCACTTCTCTTTGTGAGAGCCCTGCCTCTTTCAGAATCCACCTTCCCCAAGGAGTCTGTGACAGAATTTTCTCACCAAAAAAAAAACAAAGTGCATTTTAAAGGAAACTCAGAGGCATTAGAATCTTGTCAAGCCACATTCTTTGGAACCAGCCCAGCTGCCATGGACCCTTTCACACTACCCTCCCTGCTTCCACACATAGACAAACCCAATGTCGCTTCACAATAATGTCACTCGTGTATGGGCCACAGCATCACACAGGCTTAAATAGACACACCGCCCTGTGCGTATTCTTTATCAACAATTGTAATACCCCACATATGGTCTTATGACTAATTATTATTAACTCAAGGAGAACTGCCCTCACCACAGAGGGTGACCCATGCTAAACACACCCAAAGCCCTCCCAGGAGAGAAGCCTTTCACCCCCTTACCTGCAAAGCTCTTGGGGGCCCCAGGCACCCAGCAAAAGAAGAAAAGGAGCAGAGCTAGGCCCCAGAGAGAGCCCATCTTAGCAGGGACTCCGGCCACCCCTGCCCTTGGCCTCTCACTAACACTTTTCCTGCTTCCTCAGCCCAGGGAGGAGGGGCGGTGCCTGCCTAGGTGTGACTGGGTAGTTTCCAGGATTCAGACAGACAACCACAAGTGCGCAGGCTGAGAGCCAGCAGGTTGGGGAGCAAGGGCTGTCCGCAAGCTAACCCTGTTGTCCGGTGACAGTTTGATTGGAAGATACAAAATCATTTTCACAACCACAAGGCCATGAAAGGTTTCACCCTCCCCCACTGCCCTTACCCTTGCTCCCTGCCTAAGCCTTGAACTTCTCTGCGTTCAATAAATGAAGGAGATCCCTGAAGGATACTCAAGCAGAGAGGTAGTGTCTGGAGGAGACAGCCAGTGTGAGGTAGGACTTTGAACCCTAACATCCTTCCATCAGTGTCCTGTAATTGTGACAATGTCCCACCAGTCAAAGCCAGAACCTCATCCTCAAGTCTCATGGCGGGGTACTTGGCAGAGAAGACATGAGCTGAAAGACTGGAAGTGTGGGCTCACAAGTGTGAGGTACAAGGCCTCGGACTGCAAAAGTGATAGGAAAGTTTTGTGATTTGGCCACAAGAAGAGGAACGAAGTTGCTCAGTGTGCCTCTAAATGCGCTAAAGAAGAATTTTGCCCTCTCAAGGGGACAAGGACATGAGCTGTTTTGACCACAGCCAGTGGTCAGACACAGCCAAGTTCAAAGCAAGAGTTTTATGATGAAAGCATCTTTAGGATAGAAGAAAGATTGCTGGGTTAGCATCAAGAAATCACAAAATCTGGGTCTCCCTGGTGGTGCATGGGTTAAAGACACAGTGTTATCAAGTGATCACCAGCCATTGCAACATGAGTTCCATCCGCAACCAGCTAACACACATGGCGCAGCAGGCTTCTCCTGTCTCACCTGCTGCTTCCCTCAGCAGTGTATCTCAGTAGGTCGGCCTGTTCTGCTCCCCACTCTGTCTCTGGTGAATACTCTGACCTCCTACACCTCTAAGCTACACCCCAGTTCTTGTATGCATAAATAACTAAATCTTTAAAAAAAAAAAAAAAGGAGGGGACTTCTTGGTGGCACAGGGGTTAAAGACAGCATTATCAGGCTATCACCAGCCACTGCAGCTTGAGTTCAATCACTGGCCAGCCAAGGAGCTAACCCACATGGTGCAGCAGACCTCTCCTGTCTCACCTGCTGCTTCCCTCAGCAGTGTGTTTCAATAGGTCCTCCTGTTCTGCTCCCCCTCTGTCTCTGGTGAATTCTCTCACTCCCACCCCTCACATCTCTGGCCTACACCCCAGTTCTTGTATGCATAAATAAATATACATTTTTAAAAGATAAAGAAATCACAAAATCTCAATGTAGGAAGGAATTTTATAGTCATATCAGAAAGCTAAAGTCTGTTTCCTGCTACTTCTTTAATGGTGTAAGGGGAAAGGATGTCCTGAATGAACTCTACAGATACAGATACAGGTTTTGTGGACTCCACCCCCACCCCAGATACTGGAGTGATACAAATCCCATCAATACCAAAGCGAGGTGTGCTGGGACCTTAGGTTTGGATATAAAACTGGACATGTGGGCTTTGGGGGTTCTTAGCCTTGTGGCTCACAGCTTGGCTCTTGGCTCTTGGCCAGCTTTTAGTGTGCTGTTGGTGCTCCAGGTCAGTGGAACTGGTGGGACACATTAAATTATGTCTCTCTTGCTCTCTCTTTCCCTGAGTTATTCACTTCCTTTGTAAGTAAATAAACCCATCATTGTCCCTTTTGTGTGTGTCTGCATTTGAATCTTAAACACACAGGTGAGGACCCACAGTCAGGCAACCCAATTAGGTTGCCCACTAACAGTGGTAGCACAGAAACTGTTGAAGCCGCAACAAGGTCTTTGCCCTCTCTGAGCCTCCATCAACAAGGCCTTCAAGGTCCTCCAGGCCAAGCAGTCTGAAGTTCTTTTTTTTTTTTTTAAGATATTTATTTATGCATACAGAACTGGGTACAGGCCAGAGGTGCAGGGAATGAGAGGATTCACCAGAGACAGAGAGGGGAGCAGAACAGGAAGATGTACTGAAGTACACTGCTGAGGGGAGCAGCAGGCAGGTCAGGAGAGGTCTGCAGCGCTGTGTGGGTCACCTCACTCCTGGCTGGAGATTGAACTTGTGCTGCAGTGGCTGCTATAGTTTCTTAGTGCTGTGCTTTAATCTGCTGTGCCACCAGGGAGGGCCTGCAGTCTGAAGTTCTACCCTGGGCATATAACAGTCTTTCAGAACTTCACCCTGCATTGGATAAGGACTCTGCTGCCCCGAGGAGGGGGTCAGGCCAGTCATGTGGTAAGGCTGAGGGGTGTCCATCTGGGGCACACTCAAAACTAAGGTTTAGGGATTTGGAAGCCAACTAAACCGTTAATTAGTAGTGTATTCCTGACAGGTCGAGTATCCGTCCTCCATTCAATCTCAGTCCCCTTCACTTTATAACATGAGAATTTCAGGAAGACAAGGAAACCTAAGCACAGCAATGATCCCAATTCTGATGGACCTTGTTTAGTACCATGTGGTCTAGTGGGAGGCTTCCCCCAAGAAAAGGAAGAAAAACCTAGTCAAAACGCAGCTCCTTTCTCCAACACCCAGCCTACCTGAGCCACCTCTCAGGCCCACCCAGGCTGAAAGGGACTTCCTCATTCCAACAGCCAGTGACTTAATCATCAGAAGTTTTCCAGGTGCCTTTTTCATTCCCCCCACCCATACCCCATACCCCTTCCAGCCCCTCTCTCCCATTTCCTTTTCCTTTCAATCATTTAAGTGATCAACAGCTCAGTTCCAGCCCAGTTGCCTATGATGAGATCTAACCAGGAAACTGCTGGAAAGGAACCCTGGCCGAATGCTAGCCTGGGTCTGCTCATTTTTTTTAAGAGTTATTTATTTATGCTTACAGAACTGGGGTACAGGCCAGAGGTGTAGAGGATGAGAGGATTCACCAGAGACAGAGTGGGGAACAGAATAGGCAGATCTACTGAAACATGCTGCTGAGGGGAGCAATGGGCAGGTCAGGAGAGGCCTGCCGTGCCATGTGGGTCAGCTCCCTGGCAGGGATCCAACTCTAGGTGCAGTGGCTTCTGAGAGCTTCATAGTGCTGTGTTTCAACCCATTGTACCACCAGGGAGAGCCCTGGGTCTGCTGGATTTTGTCTGCTCCAATTTTCCTCTGCATCTGGGTGTATCCAAGCTTGGCACATGACTGTCCTGGGGCCATAATAATCTTATCTAGAATGTTCCTGGACCCACCCACCCCCACCCCCTTAGTCAACTTAGCTCTCACCCTAAATAAGCATAGGGGGTTAGTTTTGATGTAGTTTTAAAAGTTGATGGGCTTGGAGTGCAGGGTCCTTGGGTTCACTGGGGAAGTTTTCACCAGAGCTCTCCTTTTGGGGGCACAGAGCAAGTGGCGAGTTTCCCAGGTGAGTTTCTCCACAAGACAGAGATGTTATTTATATTAAAAGAGCAGGTTTATTAGAAAACGGGACAGACAAATGAAAAACACTTGCATAGACTCAAGCGGGCGGAAAGAGCTGCTTCCTGTGGGGGTAGCCGTTAGCTTTTATCCTCTTCTTCGGTAAGGAGGGGCTCATCTTTGTGGGTGGATGGCTTGTTCGGTGCTGTGGGAATGAATCTGATTCAGGACAAGTCAAATAAAGTCCAGAGCACCGGCCTGCTAAGGGCCTGGTAACAGAGCTGACTTGATCAGAAGTCCTTGAATTATAAAGATTTTGTAAAGATTTTGTAGGGTGAACTTTATTGTATTTGTTTATTGCTGCTAAGTTTTTTGTAGAATTTTTAGCATTTTCTATGTATAATATGTCACCTGCACATAGGGAGTTTTACTTTTTCCTTTCCAATCTGGATACCTTGTTTCTGTTTCTTGCCTTATTGCTCTGGCCAGGACTTCTAATACTATGTCAAATAATGGTGGTACAGTGGGCATCCTTTGCTTGTTACTGACTGTGAAGTAAAGCCTTCAGTTTTTCCACATTGAGTGCAAAGTTGCCTGTGGCTTTGTCATATGTAGCCTTTATTGTCATTAGGTAGGTTCTTTCTATGCTGCTTTATTGAGTTTTTTTTTTTT